CTTCAGAGGGATCTAGCGGATGGCTCACTGGCTTCTGGTGACTCCTTCTACATACGGGTCAATCTCAATATCTCCAGCCAATCAGACAACTGCACTCTGAGTGTGCACTGTGATGAGGTGGTGCATGTGCTGGACACCAGGCACCAGAGCCGCTGTGAGTGGCTCTGTTCTCGTGTCGACCCCTACACCGGCTCCAACCTGCCCGACCGTGGCACCATACCCAGCAACTCACGGTATAGTGAAGTTCTATTAAAACTAAAAGCGCTGACATTCTGACATTAAGATATGAAACACGCGCAGTTAAATTATAATGTTAGAAAGCCAGTGTGGTGTCAAAGACGCTTGAAATGCTGGACGTAAGTGAGTAACATGCGTCTGTTCTGCAATAGTGCTGCAGGATCCTGAGCAGGATGCAAACGTGATTTAACAGTTGAGCAGCTATGCAAAGTTTAGCAGGGGTCCTGAGGGGTCTACATCCACTTTCAGGATGCAAAGTTTCACTGATCTCCCCAACACAGCAGAAGAATCTAGTCACACACAAACACATGCACACTCACTCACACACACACACACACACACACCTCTGTACATTTTTACACCCAAGTCCCACAATATGTTGTCACCAAGAAGAACAGGAAACAGCTTGAGGCAGGGCAGACTCTTAAATGATAATACATTTTACTTTTTTAGTTGCGTCAAAATCATAAAATGTTGAGTTCTGTGTGTGTGTGTGTGTGTGTGTGTGTGTGTGAATGTAGGGCCCAGCAGCTGCTCTTGGTAAAAATTCAGAAGTTAGTGTGTCGAGGGGGGAAAGAAGAGAATGAAATCCATCGCAACAGCAGGGTAAGACACATCTGAACTTTCCTGAATTTTTTGGGAGGGGGAGGGGTAAAGTTCAAAAATCATATAGATATATTTGAATATGTGACATTATCATAGCCACACATTCCCATTTGACTGAAGCAATATGTCAAAGCAACTCTTCTGCAGCACCTGGCATCATTCAAGGTCGCTTTGCATGTTTATTAATTATATTTTGCAGATTATATTTACTCTTAAATTGTATTGTTAGTTGAAACAATTTGCTTCGTGCTGGAAATCAAGAGAGGACTCTCCAAACACTGCCACTCCTCTCTACAGATGTCATACAAAACAAATATAAGAAACCCTTTTTGTTCAAGGTCCAGGGCTGTTGTGATGTCAAACCCATTTAAGTTGTTTAGCTAATTTTTGTGTAGGTTTACTTGGTGTCAGCAGAAGCTTAATATTAATGATCAATGGTCAAAACAACTTTATCGCGACATCCCTACTTAAGTTTAAGCCTTGCAACGTTTCCGCTACTAAAACATTCTGCATTATTTTAAGTCGGAATTGTGCATTACTTCAACAAAGAAAAAGCAAATAGAGCTGTTTACTTGTTCGTCACTGTGTCTGATATATAAGTTGTGTGCATGTGCCTGTACAGAACAATTTACAGCCGGAAGAAGGCAGCCCCTCTCCTGATCCTAAAGCCAGCCCACGCATGTCTAGAGCCAGCATCTTCCTCACTCAGATACTACAGGTAATGAAGTGCAAAACCTCCTGTTGTGGAACAAGACTTTAGTCTCTTCAGTACAGTGGTGCACTCATGCCACAGCCTTCAGGCTCACATGTCTTGTGTTGAACGCACTGAAACATCACTGTGAACGAATACTTCTTAACTGAAACTAAAGAATGTGTATTTTGTTATCAATCACTTACACCCCATATGATTTCATTCCACATGACAAATTTTGTAAGTGATTTTACAACAGCAAAACAATATTAAAACAGCCATAAAAACTTTATAACTCAGGTATAATTTTGTCATCTCAGTATGTGCAGCATTGTGGAACAAAGCAGTATAGCTAAGATGCCTCCAATAATACTTCTCTATGTCTGTTTGATTTGTAGTTTGTCAGCAGGGTGGATATCAAGTACAAGCGAATGAACAGCAGTGAACGCGTGAGGATCATCAACTCAGCAAGCACAACACTACCCAGACAAAGTTTTGAGATGCTTAGACCAGAAGGTGAGTCCAAAGTGATGCAGAGGGAACAAAACTCCACATCAGTAGCTAGAAAAAAACATTAGTAAGAGGCAACATTTTCTGAAAAGAAATGTACGCAGCATGCTGCTGAAATTTTACTGTTTCAAAATTAGATATGCTGAAACAGTTGAAAGTTTCAGTTTTAAGTGGCAGAGAAAATCTAAATATTGAAAGCAGTTAAATTAGCAGCTCAAACAGAAGTGCTTGAAAACTTCAGTTTAAGCACAAGCACTGAATGAAGTTGAAGTGAAAGTGCTGAAAAAACTGCTAAAATGTCAGTTGATGTGTAAGGGGTGAAAGCAGATGAAATGCTGAAGTGTGCATTATAGGCAGTTGAAATGTCAGCTGAAGCAAAAGATCTGAAAGTAGTTGAACTATACACTGAAGAATAAAAATCAGCAACCATGTAATGGGTGAAAGCAGTTGAAGGGTCACTTAAAGTGTAGGTTAATGGGACAGTTGAAGCCTATAGTGAGTGTATTTGGATATAAAAATCTTGGGTTCGAAAAGAACTAAAAACTTCAACTTTGTTTTAAAATACATTAATTTGAAAGGACACAAAAATAGAACAGTTGTGAATAAATGCAAATGTCCTAAATGAACTGAGCATTTTGAAGGTTGAATGAATTTCCTGAGTATAACGATGTTGCAGCATCCTTAAAAAATGTCCATAAGAAGAATATGAATAGAAGAATATCACTGAAGGCGAGCACAGTAATCATACTTTGTGAAAACCATTGTTTTATCCTTAAACAAAGTTAATTTTTATTCCACATACAGTATGTAAAGTATACAATGTTTTAGCGTGTGAATCTTTATCTTGAAAATGGGTTAGCTCCTACAAGAGGCAAGTTAACTAAAGGTTAAAAATTCCTGTTCCGAGGATTTAAATTGATAATCGGGTACCTTGTGGAGCTTCAGGCTGTCTGCCCATGTGTGTATCATTGTGTGTACCTCTTCTGCTGTCTTGGCTGAAAACAGATGCTGCTGACCCAGACAGTGAGCTGAGCAGGAGTTTGAGCCTGATTCCCTACAGTCCCGTCACGCCCCAGCGGACCCAGAGGAGAAGACCAGTCCTCTTCACTCCCACTGCTCTAGCCAAAACCTTTATCCAGAAAATACTCAACATGGGGGGAGCCATGGACTTTAATACCTGCAATCCAGGTCAGTGTATGTTGGGGACAAACAAAAGCTTGCTGCAAAGCCCGTCATCTTAATCACAATTCCACCTCGTTCATCAATTGTGAATCAAATATAGAGGAGATAGTGGATAACAAGGGGGGAGAAGCGGGGAAAAGGAAGCTACTACTGGGATTCAGGTCAACTATTGTACTGCACTGTGGAGTAAATGTTAAGGTGTGTAACCAGAGACACGGTGGGGGCAGTGTGCAAGATGGCCTACTTGATAATTAGGAGAATGATGCATGATGATGACAATGTCACAGAGGCATTCAAATCCCCAAAAGGTATATTTTAGACAAACCAACTGCTCCCATGTCGGGGGGGTCAGACAAGTTGCTGGTGTACAGAGTCGAACATCTGCGTGATGTCTTGACTACATGGAGAGTCCCCTGGGCAAAAACCTCAAAAGTTTCTGTTCCTTCTGTATTTATTGTGCTGTGGTGATCATTAACAATTCAACACACTATATTTCTGTGCCCACAGTTTCTCAACATGTTTTAGAACGTTTTGTTTTCTCTCTTTGTATACTACTGTATTTAACTCTATTGGCTGTTTTATGTTTAGACGTCATGTCCAAAGAAGAGTTTCATCTGAAACAGAATGTGGAGCCCTTCATTCACTACAGAGAGAAACATGCCACATTTGAATGCATCACCCGAGAAAACATAGAGGCTGTCGCTGCTAAGGTAGGCAATTATTTACGTGTGTGTGTGTGTGTACATACACACCTGCCTTTATCTGCTTATGTGTTTGTTCTTGTGTGTTTGGTCTGCTTATGTGTTTGTTCTTGTGTGTTTGTTATGTCGTTTGCACTTTGTGGAATAGTCTGAAAAAACAATCTCACGTATTAAGTCAATATGTATCTGGAGAACAAAGCAGGGCTAGCTTTTCACAATTGTTTCCAGTCTTTGTGCTAAGCTAAGCTAACCAGCTGCTGACCCTAGCTTCATATTACTGTACAGACATGAGAGTGATATTGATCTACTCATTTACCTCTCTTCAAGAAAGCAAAAAGGCATATTTCCATATGTGGAACTATTCCTTTTTCCTTGTTGAAGTATTTGAATTCACATTAAAAAAATTTTGGATTCATACGTGAATTCAATTACTGTCCATCTTTGGCCAACAGAGGAGAAAAAAAGTTGTGATCTTCTGACTTAATTTTGTTCCTTTCATTCGTATGATGTGAAAAGTCCCACTATGTCATTTTACATTTGATTAAGCAGGCAAAATGCCCTCTGAATAAGTTTTATTGTGTTATGTGCAATGCTGTGCACCTATCTACAGTGCATGTGTTCCATTATGTATGGACATGTACACAGTACAGATGAGTATTTGTTTTTTACCGGTCACCAGGGCAAGCACTGCCTGCTGGAGGCTGAGCTGAGCTGCATTAAAGACCTGCTGCGGAGAGAAATCTACCCAATCATCATCTATGTCAAGATCTGTGAGAAAAACATCAAGAAGTTACGGTAGGCTAAACAAATGTCACTCAGCCCTCTCACACATTTACTTAGTGCCTCTTACCCACACCTGCAGTCACAGACTTTTTCCATAAACTAACACATGTCCATCCTTGCATGACATTTTTCATGCAAGCAGGTGAAGAGATTGAACTAAGGACTTAAACTATGCATCTAGACGTGAGGTTTCCTGCACAATGACATTCAGACAATAGTTGTGAAATTGAACCAGTTGTTGGAGTAGCTGAGCACGAGCTTTTTCCTTTCCACAAAGGTGAGAATTTGGCACCTTTTTCAAAATACAACATGTCGTGTGGCTGCATTTCACTCTGGTGTGTTGATGATAATATCAGTGGAGATACAGTCTTCCGTTTCTTGCTATAATTGTTAGGGAGTGTCTAACCTGATGCTTTGACGTATTTTCTGTTGGATTGTGCCTTTAAATAGACAAATAGCACGTAAACCTATTACTGAGTGTAATCTTTCTGAGAATTACAACAAAGTACACAAACCACTGTTGCAAAGTGTCTACGGGATTTCATCTGAGATACTGGGTTCCGAACGTTACCGCACTCACCACTGCAGCGTTGCTTCCTTCCTGTTTCCTGTCCACACAGGAAGTTGCCTCTGCGCGTGGAGGAGGATGAGTTTGTGAAGATGTGTCGGGCAAAAGAGAAGGAGCTGGAGGGCATTCCCTGCCTGTACGCCAGCCTGGAGCCTGAGTCCTGGACAGGGACAGACGACCTCATAAAGGTCATCAAAGACCGGATACTGGAGGAGCAGAAGAAGATGGTTTGGGTGGAGCAGGACCTCCTGTAGACACACACACAGAAAAACACAACGGTCTGTACATGAAAATGAACACGTGTAGCTGAGCACCATTAAACAGACCTTGTAAATTATGCTTTCATGCATATATATATTTATGCTCAGACATAAAAATGCACATGTGGACACTTGCTTGTTATAGACTTACAATTAATGCATTATATATTTTGTAAATGTGTGCCTTTCCTTTGATTTAGAGAAATAAACAAATGAAAAACATCAAAAAGGGTCTTTTTTAACTTCAAGGTTTAGCATTTAAGGAGAACGTGTTCAAAGTGCACTTCTGTGAACTTTCAATTTCGGTCTGAGCCTACATAACTTTGATTGTACTGTCCTCTGGTGGCTAATGTCGGATTTCCACACTGTAAAGACTCCAGTCAAATAATTTCAACCAAAAATCTGAAGAATTACCATGGTTTTGTGCTGCAGAATTTAAATCAACATTAAGTAAGCAGGAAGAAACATAACATCCAAGCTCAGTGATTTTAAAAAGTCAGCTGTGCCAGAACTCATTATCAGCTGGATAACCCCGAACCCCTTCAAATCTGAAACACAGACTCATGTAAAATGCCATTTCTGGATTTGCTCAGCTATTTTATCTATAACTCACTAAACCAGCACAGTCTCTGGCCACTTTGCTGATTCCTGCAGCTTAAAAAGCTGTGTTGAGACAGACCAGAAGGTTAAATTTTACAAATATGGGCAGGCCACGGAGGGATTTAGAGTAACCTCTTTCGTAAGGGAGAAAGATAATCTCCTCATCTGTGGGGAGGTGCATGCATAGGGCAATATGCAGTATTCAAATGCTCATATCAGCCACATACTGGATATAAGAAACCCAGAACAGCCTTACTTTAGTCAAAACCACTGCATTTTTGCTCCATGCAGTGTAATAGAAAGGCTAATATTTATACTATTCTACTATACTTTCAATGTTTTGGATGGTAAAATGTAATAATCATCACAAAAAGTACACACATATATGTAAATAAACATAATAAAATGTAACGTGATTATATACATGGTATATTTATGTCTCCCAGTGCTTAGAAAGGACAAATAATCCCAATTGCACCACATTGCATATTTTTGTAATCTTTTTGTCCTCTGGTGTGTGTGTGTGTGTGTGTGTGTGTGTGTGCTTTACTCATGTTGTGGGGACAAAAATCTGTTCATACTGTCACATTGTGGGCACTCGCCTTCCTTTTGGGGACAAAACACAGTAACATAAATCATTATATTTTAGTGTAAAGACTTGATTTAAGGTTAGGGTATGGTTAGGTTTGGATTAAGGTTGGGATTAGGATACATCTCCAGGAAATGTAAGTCCATGTTCTCTGAAGTGATAGAAACATGACGTGTGTGTGTGTGTGTGTGTGTGTGTGTGTGTGTTTTTAAAGGAGAATGACTGCCAGAGTACCGAGTTATATTAAGCAAATTCTTGAGAACAAAGCGATGAGAGTAAAAACAGGAATGGGGGTGAAAAGTGTGATGCTGATTGAAAGCAGATGATGATGATGATGTGTGTGTGTGCATGTTGTGTGTATCAGTGTGTGTGTGTTCAGAGTGAATCAGAGGCTCTGTTGGAGCTCCTTGCTGTGTTTGATGTCACAGGATGAAGAGAGTTCACAGATAACAGGATTTTAAGCTGGAGGTAACAGAAATAGACACTGATCCCCACAGCCACATTTCCTTATTATCATTCTTTTGGTCTCATTTTCTGAGTGAAGATGACATTTGCTTTTGCAGGTAGAGCCGGTTATTTTCAGCATGCTGCTCCTGTGGGAGGGAAGGGAGGAGGGGGAGTGTGGGGGGGAGAGACTGTCTACATAAATCATCCCAGAGCAGAGACATGTTATGCTGGAGCTGACCCAGAAAAGTGAATTTTTTCCCTTCATGAGCTCACTCTGCACAAACCTCTGCTACAAACTCTCGCGGTGCTTTGCGTGCTCCCGCTCCATCTCCGAGGAAAAAAAAAAACCTATCTCTCATCCCAGGCAGCTGACGCGGCGCTGGGAGCTCGCGGGTACGGGAAGAGGTGAGAAGGTGTTTCCTTTTATTCGTCTTTTTTTGTGTTATTAACAAGAAAATCTTGAACGCAGAGTAACACGTCCCCACTCTGTTGAAACAAGGTGTTTTTGCATGCGCCTTCGCTCCAGGGCTGAGCAACACTTGGGCACTCCGATAAGGCTGTAGGCACACCGACAGCGTGTATTGATGAAACCACAGGCTGCACGGAAGCTCGTTGTCTTCCTACGCTGCATTGTCTCCACGTAAATTTGACAGCTCCACGCGACGCCTTAATGAACCGAACCAGGAACAGCCCGTTCCCGCGGCTCTGCTCTCCCGTCAAAGGCTACATTGTGTCCGGTCTGGCATCCGCTGGCGGCTGCTGCGGACGGAACGGTGTGATCTATCTGTCGTCGGGTAAGCTCGCGCTGCTTTTTATGGCTCTATCCGTTCTCCGCACAGCTGGTCTGACGCCGGCGTAAACAACAAACGTGGACGAGTTGTAAGGCAATATGACCATTCTCTAATAAAGAATACTCTGCAGCGCGACGTAAATCTACATTGAGACGTCTTGACATGATGTAGACACCGAAAAGATTTATGTCAACACAGAAAGGCGCGTGAACGGAGAGACATGTAAAGGGGTGTTGCTCCTCTGTAACCTTTTCCCAAATAGTAATTTCATGCTTCAGCCTACTACTGTCCATAGTGGTAGAGTAAGTATTCAGATACTTTACAAAGTAAAAGTACAACTGTCATACTGTAAAAATACTACAGTACAAGTATGTATCATTATTAATACTTTAAGTATAAAAAGCAAAACCCAGTGCAGAAACATGGCCCCTGTGAGTGTTATGCTGTTTTATTTAGAGTTGCAGTTTAAAGAAAAACTGCCAAAAGTTAAATAGTGGACATTATAGAAAGTATTGTAGAAATTTATTTATTTGTGTGTGTGTGTATGTATATTTAGGCCTATATATTATTATTATTTGTATGATATATCGTTTATTAATTAGTCAATTCATATTTTTAGGTTTTGGACTTTCAGACAACACGGGGCATTTCATAAAGTCACCTTGGGCTCTAGGATATTATGATGCAAATTTTTCTGTTCTATTAATATTTCGTTAACCAAATGAAATATATTAAATCAATTGAGAAAATAATTAGATTGATCTTGAATGAAAATAATTGTTAGTTGTAGCTGATGGTTATGTTATGTTTTGATGTACACATTAATATGTAAGTTGCATTTTACTGTCGTAGTTGGTTGGGATGGTGCTCTTAGGAGCTACTATCTGCTATTTTATATACTGTTGGATAGTGTGATCCATAAGAATCTGTGATCATGCTGTTTTCTATTCAAAATATTTATTTGTAAAGGAGTAACAACAGTAGTCAGATATTATAGTCAGACAAAGTAGGGGGGAAAAAGTACAAAATTCTTCCCTCTGTAATGTAATGGAGCTGAAGTATAAAGTAGAATAAAATGGTCCCTCAAAATCGTAGTAACTAGAGTACTTGAGGAAATTCACTTCCCACATTCCACCATGGACGGAAGATCTTAGCATCTCCTGCCCCTGATACGTCTGATATGATGTACATTATAGGGCAGCAGTAAATTTGTTGTTGCCTAGAGAGGAAGAGGAGTGTAGTCTGCAGCCTCTGGAGAGGGGAATGATTATTTTTCATGTCAGTGGTCCTCTCTTAGCTCTAGGAAAGAGGAAATGAGTTGTCGTCTGTTGCACGAGAGCTCCATATTTAGAGTGTCAGAATGGGGGAAAAATGACGCCCTACAACTTTTGAACTGCACACGAAGGAGAAGATAGACTGGAGATAAAATGGAATTAAGAAATGTGACTTGTGATTGAGATAAGCCACATGTTCTCCAGCTCTCCACAAAGTAATAGGCTAGTTTGTGCATTGCAGGAGCACAGTAAGTCTCTGTGTTTTTATCCATGCGGAGCGTATCTTGGTTAGGTGTGTAAAATATTTGAAATTGGCCCTCTTTCAAAGGTGGCTAACATAGGGGCTTTTATTACATCAGGGCTGCTGAGTATTAAAGTGTGCCGATGCTGTACCATAATCATTAGGACTCCTGGTATGCAGAGCCCCCTGGCATGCAGACATTTGACAGCCACTTGTGATTTTGCTGCTGGGAGTGGGAGTTAAATCAACTCAAGAGAGATGAGGGAGAAATTCAGTCCATGTAGTGTCAGAAATTTGAAGCCACTAAAGCGTAAGACTTGCTCACTTTGCTGTAAGCTCTTTTTAATCAGCAGCAGAGCAAGAAAACATAAGATAAGGTTTTTACTTTTGAAATCTTGAAATCTGTATGCTTTCTAAGAGTGATAATCTACCCGGGTGCTTGAATAGGGGGAAAAACACAAGAAATCCAGCAACACTTACGAACACTGTCTTTCATTATTATACTTTACATTTAACTTGATTTTATAAATTCCCTGTGTCTTTATTAGCTTGTCAGTGTTTCTTCTCGTTGTAACGTGCTATAAAAAATTACAAAATAATCCACTGTTTTGATGAAATATTGTCTGTGTTAAAATGTGATTGGTGGCGGCATGCTAGCCAACGATGAGGCAAGTCCATAATCTGATTTTCGAAGTAGAAGTGGTTATTTTGAGAAAGATGGACCATAAGACGGTGTCTCTCTGTGCAGGGCGCCGCAGGCATGGAGCAGAAGTGAGAGCAAATCCATGGATGGCCAGTTAGACGCCTGTACAGCACACTCCTGTAGTGCACCAGCACCATGACAAGCCCCATCCTACCACAGACTCGGCTATAGCGGCCATCTGTCTCCATGGTGAGAGAGAGCTCTTGGACCTTGACTCTGTTGCCATGGTGATCCTGTAGCGAGCAACAGCCACAATGGGAACGTCCAGGATGTTCCGCATTTTTGTCGTCCTGGGCTCGGCCTTCATGATCCTCCTGATCATTATCTACTGGGATGACGTCGGAGCGTCTCACCTGTATTTGCACACTCCTGTGTCACCGGGACCCAAAATCCCACAACCCCCACCTCCCCAGCAGCGGCCCCAAACCTCCCGAACCCCGTCCTTCCTGTCCGACATCGATGCCTTCGTTAACCAGTTCTTAGAGCCGGGAACTGGTGAGCCCACAGACCCCGCCCCAGCAGACACTAACCAATCAGAGAAAGCAGAAGAACGGTATATACCGCGGCGGGAGTGGAAGATTCACCTGGCTCCTGTAGCAGCAGAGCTCCGTGAGAGACAGGTTAATATATGAAATTATTATTATTACTATTTTCTTTAATAGTATCAGTAGTGTTCAATTGTTAGGGTGGGCTGGGTTGATTGAAGGAATACAACTTTTTAAATAAAAAGGAGTACGGTCCAGAATTGCTCTATATGAAAAGTGCAATGATGTAAGTTCTGTTATGAATTGGCGCCATATAAATGACATTTGAATTGCATCTTTTCACAGAAGACATTCTGACACGTGGGAGCAGGAAAAGCACACGTGTAAATGATAATATTCATTATGGCCCCATTCCATTTATGCCAGTGTGGCAGCTGCATGGTGACTCAGGCATGGCTTAACAGGACACATAAACAGAACAGAGTCATCATTGACGTCATTAGTTCCACCTTTGTTTTTCCCGTACAAGGAAAACAAAAGGGAGGACTCGCATACAGAACACACTCTCTGGACCCTGATTGGTTGACAGCAGCGGCTCCCCTCATTCAAATCATGTGAGCGTAACATTATATAAAAGAAGCTAATCAAGATCATTTGTGATCTGCTAATTGGAGTAAGCTTTAAAGCCTTGTAATATTGATGGTTTATGAAAACGTTGCAATAACTTGAAACTAAATTGAACTCCTAAACATTGGATTCAACATTC